CCCCCCCCCCCCCCCCCATGTATAATATGGATATTTCTTTTTAACCAAATAAACTCCTATTTCTCATCTCCCTCATCTGCTTGGACAACACTGGAGTACATCATATCCCGTCGCCAGGTCGGATACGGTCTAGTCGCTGGAGTTCAAATATTTAAACGGATCCGTAGCTCAATTCGGATGCGAATTTTCCCCATACGGAGATGATCGAAACTCAACGCAGCTCCCGGACTGCTTCATTCTTCTCCCGGACTTCATTGGTCTGTCGCTTGTCGTTTGTCGTGTGCAGTGGAAAGGCGGCTTTAGACTTAGCCGACTGTTGAATATGGATATTCTGAGTTTGTTAGCATGTTGTTGCATTCAAGCAGATTGTGGAATGGGAATATGGAGAAGGATTGAGAAGTTAACACATAATTTAAACGGTTTTACTGAAGCCGCTCTACTTGACGGTTGGTCTTGTGCGTCGGCCATGTTTGTAGTTTGTTTACACTTTTAACACAAGTTTGTGTTTCTAATCGAATTCACATCCAATACACAATGCACTGTGGGCAATATTAGCGGTGAGAGTATGAACGCACTCTACACTTTCAATTTCTACCGGAAATACTCGAACATCCGGGAGCTTTAACGGTATTCTTGTCAACATACTGCGGTTCGAGACTCACTAACTCTATTTTCCAATACTATTAAGGATAGTCTGCAAATGTGGTCGCAGAAAGACTATAGTTTTTTTTCATGTGGGTTCGCTCATGTGAGTGAGTATTGATATGTTAATCTGTAGGGTGTTGATCTGGACGAGGGCCCTCAGAAGGGAGCAGACGCTGAGCTGTCGGAGGACTTCGGCTGGGAGGAATATACCCCGGTAACTTACTCTATGTACATCATCATGATCTGTGTGTGTTCTGGTGTTCACTTGTGTTTTAAAGTTGTAGTTGACCCAGAAATTAACATTTACTCTGGTTATTCATCCTTATAAATCCTCTGTTAAGCACAAAAGAAGATATTGTGAAGAATGCTGAAACCCTGTAACCATTGACTTCCATTGTAGGAAAAACAAACACTATGGAAGTCAATGGTTACAGGTTTTCAGCATTTTTCAAAATATCTTCTTCTGTGCAGAGGAAATGACCTAAACAGGTTTGGAAAAAGTGAAGGGAGAGTAAATAATTGGGATTTTTGTGTGAACTGCCCCTTTAATGGTTCATCTTCTGCAGGATAATAAACCACAGAAACCCAAAGAGACGGCCAGTCACCGCCGAGGCTCGAAGGTAAAGGTGTTTTCCTCAGAGTCCACTAGAAATAAACGTAGTACGCTTCAGCTGATGTAAACATGTGTTCTCCCTAGAATAAAGACTTTCCTGAAGACTTTCTGGATCCTCCAGGAGCAGCGGCTGCAGATTATCACCTGTCAGATGCTGCCAAGGTAAACATCATACATGTAGATACAGAAATCCTGCATGCAGACATCATCTCATCACTGAGGCTGCGGTGTTTGATCAGAAAACCCACAGACTTTCACTGAGGCTGCTTATTTATACTAGCATCATCTTAAACTCTCTCTCTCTCTCAGGCTGAGTGGACTTCAGCTCAGATGGACATGAAGAGATTGAGGGATCAGGAGGAAGAGCAGAAGCTGGAGCAAGAGGAGGATGAAGGGGTCAGTCGGAACACACACACACACACGCACCGCACATTCATTCATGACTATAACTAGAACATTGTGATGTTTTCTAGTGTGATTGCGGCATTTTCTATTAGTATGTATTGGTTTAAACATGCTACATACAGAAGGCAAAAGATTACCAGTAGAGACCCAAAGAGCTATATCAGTTCAAAGTATGGTGAGCGAGAGATCTTCAAGCACTGCAACTTAAAAGCACATGTAAATGAAAAACAACAGCAAGTTAACTAAACGTCTTCATGGGTTTGACAACACACACACTGCAAATCCTCAAACACAAATAAATAACACTTGCAAATAGGTGTTGCAAATTGCAAATTCGATTAATCGATGAATCAGATAATAAAAGAAAAGCATTAATTTCCAACCGTTTATTTAAAAAACTCATCCCTGAGCTGTTATAATAATAATAATAATAATGCTAATAATAATAATAATAACAATAATGTTAATAATAATAATAATAATAATGTTAATAATAATAATGCTAATAATAATTATAATGCTAATAATAATAATAATGCTAATAATAATAATATTAATAATAATAATGTTAATAATAATAATAATAATAATAAAGCTAATAATAATAATAATAATAATGTTAACAATAATAATAATGTTAATAATACTAATGCTAATAATAATAATAATAATAATGCTAATAATAATTATAATAATGCTAATAATAATTATAATAATGCTAATAATAATAATAATGCTAATAATAATGCTAATAATAATAATAATGTTAATAATAATAATAATAATAATAATAATAATAAAGCTAATAATAATAATAATAATAATAATAATAATAATAATGTTAACAATAATAATAATGTTAATAATACTAATGCTAATAATAATAATAATAATAATAATGCTAATAATAATTATAATAATGCTAATAATAATAATGCTAATAATAATAATTATTATTATTATGCTAATAATAATAATGCTAATAATAATAATAATAATTATTATTATTCTAATAATAATAATAATAATGCTAATAATAATTATAATAATGCTAATATTAATAATGCTAATAATAATGCTAATAATAATGCTAATAATAATAATAATAATGCTAATAACAATAATGCTAATAATAATTATAATAATGCTAATAATAATAATAATAATAATAATAATATTAATAATGCTAATAATAATAATAATATTATTAATATTAATAATGCTAATAATAATTATAATAATGCTAATAATAATAATGCTAATAATAATAATAATAATGATAATAATAATAATAATAATAATAATAATAATAACAACAATAATAATGCTAATAATAATAATAATAATGCTAATAATAATAATAATAACAACAATAATAATGCTAATAATAATAATAATAATGCTAATAATAATAATAATAACAACAATAATAATGCTAATAATAATAATAATGCTAATATTTTTTCTAATCCGTTTTTTTATCTGTTTCTTTTCAATTAATCATCTTGCTCTACTATGAAGCGCTCTACAAAGGGTGATATACTGTTTGGAACACACTGAATGTTTCCTGCTTCACCTCTGAATGAATCAGCCCGTTGTTTAATGAATCATTTGAATGAGTTGCTTGTAGAATCATTTTCAACAATTGCCACTTTCACCACTTGCTGGTGATTTTAGTGTCTTGTTTATTAATCCATGACCGGCCCAAACCAAGACCAGCACAAAAAACCCAGCAAGGTTTAATGATTGTTATAAAAAATACAACTAAAAATACATATAGATATGATATATGTAGATATATATTTTTTCGTGTCACATACTAGAGCCGTGGGACCCGACCACATTTCCGTGGCGCGGGAATAAATTTCCGAATAAAGCGCGGGAGCAGTCGGTAACGGGTTTGTTTTGCATGTGTGTGAAAGAGACAGCATGATGCTGCGTTTAGCTTGTTTGTTGCTGTCTATGTGTGCGTGCGAATGAGAGAGAGCTTTGTGCTCTCTCTCTCTCTCTCTCTCTCTCTCTCTCTCTCTCTCTCTCGTGTGTGTGTGAATGAAAGAGAGCGCGAGATGCTGTCTGTGTGTGTGTGTGTGTGTGTGTGTGTGTGTGTGTGTGTCACTTGCTTGTGTGTGTGTGTGTGTGTGTGTGTGTGTGTGTGTGTTTATACAGACAGCGTGTTATAGGCTGTCTGTACTCTGTATAGCTGGGTGGTTTTCAGTTTTGTTCTCTCCCTCGTCCGTGGCAGATAGAAAGCGGGGCGGGAGAACAAATGCTGAATATAAGCGGTAGCGCTCGGGTTCGGGCTATAACCTGGTGGGTGCAGGTGGGAGCGGGATTCAAAATTTAGTCCCGCACAGATCTCTTTCACATACCTCTAATCGTTTGCACTGCAACACAAACTAAATACATACATGGCTACATACATAATTTTATGATTAATAACATTAATGATACTAATAATATTTATAATAAATCACTACAAACTTTGAGTCAAAATCATCAATTTTTTATGCCAAAAATATTTAGAAAAGGTCACGTTCTATGGACACAATTTGTAAATTTCGTACTGTAAATATCCCAAAACTAAGCTTTGATTATATGATTAATATTCATTAGTATTAGATTAATGATATTACTTGATTAATATGATTAAATGATTAATGAACATGGCTAATAGGATTGAATGATTTATTAGTATGCTTTGCTAAGAACTTGGTTTGTTTAACTTTTTTGTTTTTTTTACCTTCAGATTTCCAATAGTTGTATCTTACATATTGTCATATATTGTACAGTATGTATATTGTATTAAACATCTATGGGAAGCATATTTATTCAGCTTTCATGTGATGTATTTGGGGTCAGATGTGAGTGCATGCAAGCTGTAATGAAGCTGTTGTGTGTTTTATTAACAGGACACTGACAGCCTGATGGAGTGGTGGAACACAGTGGAGTGTGAGTTTACCATTCACACACACACACACACACACACGCACACACACACACGCATGTCACGTTCAGCTCACATTCAGCCTTTATGTTTTCCAGATTGGGATGAAATTCCTTCAAACGACACCATCAGCTCTAAAGAAGAGGAGACCATGTAAGACTACAGTATATTAAACCACCATATCTGCACACTGACACAACTGTGACCCATTGTATGTAATTGAAGACAAATATTTAGTTCTTTTTATTACCCGAAGTGATTTTTTAATATTATTTATGAGCTCTTTATTAGTCCTGCAAATTACTCATTCTTTTTTCAAATGTTACTCAAGTGCTGTTATACAAAACAGGGATATTTTATACTACTCAGGTCAGTGGTCCCCAACCTTTTTATAACTGCGACCGGTCAATGCTTGACAATTTTACTGCGGACCGGGAGGGGGGGGTCTAGAACGTGCTGACGTGAGACGTCTGCTTCAGCCAATCAGAACAGTCAGACGCATTCACATCCGCATGGTTTATGAGAATAAAAGCCTTTGAATATTTTTCCAGACACATTTAGCTGCTAGAAGTTAGTCAGATCACGTTTATATGTTCATCTTAATGCCAACCGTGTAAATAATTATCAATAAGATGCTTATGATAAGCCGTTGTTTGTTTACCTTCAAGCTTTGCGTGTGGTCAAAACAGGGTTTTCAGCGCTGTGTTAGCGATCTCTGGGTATTCTGCCATCACTTTAATCCAGAACACCGGCCGAGTTGTTGTCTCGAACACTGTTTTAAGGCCGTCGTCATTTGCGATCTCCAGCAGTTGCTCTTCTTCTTGCATGGACATGCTGGATTCAGCTGGTTTGTTGACAAATGGGTCACGTATTCATTCCCTAGCCGTTTACGGGTCATTTGAGGTTGGGAAGTAGCGCTCAAACTCCTTTAACAGCGAAGACTGGTGATCGTGCAGCAGCTTGGTGTGGGCGCAGGCTCATTCTCACACAAAATCCCCGCTAATGTTTGAAACATGTCCAATATGCCTCCGTTTGGCTTTATATGCAGCTACTTTATCTGCCAACTTAAAGATAATTAATTCTTGTGCGGCCCGGTCTGGTACTGATTGATCCACGGACCTGTACCGGTCCGTGGCCTGGGGGTTGGTGACCACTAACTTAAGTTACTGATTTATTATTATTGTTCTTAGAAATTTTGAAAGATTAAAGATTTTGGAGCAGGTTCACAAAAACGGAAGTATGAGATGATGTCAGAAAATGTTTTTGATCCATTTAGGCAGAAATGACAAACGGCAAACGTTGGATGTTTATATCAGGTTTATATCTTCTTAATATAGCTATGTGGATTTAATAATTTAAAAAAAAATCACCAGAAATGATTTCATATGCTCGTTTGTAACTCCATAAAATACTCCTAGAATGAGAAGGTCCATAATTGACCATATTTGGATCAGTCGTGAATATTAATGAGCACACACACAAGTTGTGTTTTGAATAAAATTTATGCAAAATTATCAATGATATTTATTCATTAAGATAAACCCCTTGGGATGTACCATCTCATTTTCAAGGGGGTCCCACAATTAATCACAATCACATAATAACAACACCAGAAGACAAAACATAACTTACTCAACATCCAAAAAACATGACATAACATAAAAAATAGTAATAAATAAATAAACAAATAAAATAATTCTTATTAATTAGTATTATAATTAATGAATTATTGTAAATTATGCTTAAATCTGAAAAATCACAGTATATTAACAAAAGATACAATTATACATTTGTTTAGCTCCACCCTAAGGAGCCTTAAGCTAAATATAATCTGTCTATTGAGTATTTTGCATTCTAGATGAGTGTGAAGAGATGGACTCATTGCTCAGTGGTGCACACTAATGCTGTGTTAACACCAGACGCAGAACGCGTGGATAAATTGCGCTATTTGCGCGTAAATAGCCGCGTGAACATTTGAGTTTACTCGCTTCATTCGTGTGTCAAATTCACTTCAGAACAGACGCGGATTTGCGTGATGGGCAGGGCTTCTGTCTGCCTAAAGACTCTATCTTCATAGCTAAATGGCTAACATGGATTTTATGAAGAAAGTAACAGTGTGTATGTGCTTTATGAAGACTGAAAAACAGCGTCGATACGTTTAGGGTCGTGTCTGAGTCCACTACATCCTTTCAGAGGTGCATCCAGCTCTGTGAGCTCATAAACTCCTCCAGAAACTGAACCTGGATGACGGAGGCTTTCAGTGGTGCTTCTGACTGAGCCCAGCCCAGTTTGATGAACATCAGGTTCTACGTCACAATCACGGCCCCACAAGAGCAAGCTTCTGATTGGTTAATGCGGCGCGAATGTACGCTGAAGTTCAGGTTTTCGAAATCGAGAAAACGCTCGTTAAAAACGCTCAATTCGGCCCGCGCCATTCGCAAAATTTTCGTTATTTGCGCCGCGTCATTCGATCGTATCGCTCCACAGGATGTCTATTCGCGCGTTTCTATTGACTTAACACGTAAATCACTCGCGCTTGACGCGCGTTCTGCGTCTGGTGTGAACGCAGCATAACGCCCCATTCACACTGGGCTTTAGCGTCTGACGCGATAATCATAGCAGTGTCAGCCAATGAAATTAGTCTGCAATAGGCCACAGTCTGAGCTGGTGTATTTGCATACAGCGATCTGATTGGCTGACGCTTCCGTCGCCGCTTGAAAAGTTGAGCAAATCAAAACTTTTGCAGCGAGCAACGCATCTGAGGTGGCGCTGACGGATCCACAATGCAGTTCGGCAACGCCTGACGTCACCCATTCAAAGTGAATAGGAAGCGTTGATGATGACGCCACGTGTGAATGGCGTTATTATATTATTATTCGACTACGCCTAGTTATACCCGGATTTTCCTGATAGGTCATCTTTTGGACTAACACACTGATACTAACATCTGAAACAGCATCATTTTAACTTCACAGGTCTTTAACGAGTCTCCATTGCTCTCTGTGTTCAGCTCATTTAAGGCAGTAGCGGAGCAGGTCCACCGTGGTCTGCGGGTATACCTGAAGCTCTTCATGGAGCGCGCTGAGCTGCTCTACCAGCACGTGTTGATCTTATACGCCATCGCAGACGACCTCAGCAGCTTCCACCATCGCTCCAAAATCGCCAACATCGCCGGTGGGACCACCACGGCTGTAGGAGGCGCCGCTGCCATCGCGGGGCTGGCGCTGGTGCCCGTCACCTTCGGCGCCTCCATCATCATCTCTGCCATCGGCCTCGGGGTCGCCACGGCTGGAGGAATCACTGCGGCTTCAGCCACCATATCTGACAACATCAACAACATGCATGTGTGTATGACGCTAACACTAATGAGTTCACGTTCATTATAGAGCACTTTCAAAACAGCTAGGGCGGACCAAAGTGCCGTACATAAAATGCAAATCACAACAATAAGAGGAGATGAGCAATTAAATAGCAGTAACTGCTTAATGAAGCAAGTGCGGACAAGTTCAACTTTTCAATCATTAGTTTTTGTCTTGTTTCTAGTCCAAACATCTACACATCCTTAAATCTAGAAGCATTTTCTAGACGAGCAAAACATATCGTCTTGTTTTCAGAAATGATATCAGGGATGTGATACGGATTTCCGTATTTTCTGAGCTCGAAGGGGCGACCCCTGTGATTTGCGCAAAACCAACGTTGTTTTGTTTTGTTTTGTTTTTGTTTTTGTTTTGTTTTGTTAAAGGGGGGGGGGGGTCATTGTGAGCTCCATCGTCTTCAAAGCAGACCTGATGGTTTGCCCCTTTAGTGTTCATCATTGAGCACAACAAGGAGCAGTAACTGTTACATTACGGACATCATTCCGGGATGTAATTGTAGAACTACAGTACCTAGGCTATTGTGTATAATGAAACTGTGCAGTCCTATAATGTGCGCGTATGAGGAAGCCACTGATCAGTAAATCATTTTAAATGCAAACTTTTTCCGTTCTCACAATTGCATCTCACGACCATGTGCGCTCTATGTTTATTAGAAAAAAAGCCAGGACGCACATTTGTTGTTATCCTCTGCAAATCATCTGTTCTTGTGTCACTTATTAAGCGCTGCAGCCTGGCACCTCAAACTTAATACCCGAAAGTTTAGATGATATTACACAATTAAAAAAATATATATTTTATAATTTATTAAAACTATTAAAAACCCGGGACTACAGTGAAGGAAAAGGAAAGTGATTGTTTTTAGCAATGTGGGATATTTTTTGTAGGGTGGAATGTTTAAGTATATTAGGCTACACAAATCAGCTGGACTTAATATTTTAAGGCCTTTAAGCAATTTAATGGCTTAAGATTGTTGACTGACTAGTATTTTATTTATATCGTGGAATAAAGAGTCGACTGAATTACAGGAAAATTTATATTCTTTGGACCCAAGATCACTAAACAGAGTTAGTGTTGCCATCTAGTGGCTGTGTGCGGATCTGTCATGACATTAAAGTACAAAGTACTGCATAAACCTAATAAACTGATTAAACAAAAAATGAAAGTTAAATTGTGTAGCCATCATCAAAAAAGTGTATACAATTATTATTTATTATTATTTTTAGAAGTATTGTTTATATTATTTATTTAAACGCACACACACACCTATACATCTCATCTGACTTTATTTTTGTCCTCGGCTGCTCGCATACCTGTAATGTAATGTTAGGTTTTTTTTTTTGTTTTGTTTTTTTTTTTAAACAGGCAAACTAATCAGCCAATGAGGAAAGCAGAATAATCTTGTTTTTCCTTTTGACATATGATTATTTAGCTTAAACGTGCTGTATGTAAGTGTTTGACTCTTCTAAAACATAAACATATCATAATATGTGTGCAGATATTTCAGAAACATGCTCAGTGAACACTCTTATTTATCTGAAAAACAATGCTGAAGTCAGATATTCTGCTTTGAAAATGTGCGTTAGGTGCCGGAACAGCTGTCTGTGTTTTGGTTATTTAACACACCCAATGTCAGTTTAGCCAATTATATTTCAGCACCCCGGATTGCCTTAATAGAAAACAGAGTATTTCAATTAGAAAGGCTCTCAAAGCATGCATCTGTGACTGAAATGCGACCTCTGGTGGACAGTAGCAGACTCCGAAATGAGAAACAGATTCAGAGTTCCACCTGAGGTGATTATTAAATAGCACATATTACAGATATGAAGAGTGTAAACATTAGGTGAGCAGGTTACATTGTAACCCCATGTCCTAACAACATGCTATGTCATGTGATTTGCAGTGATAAGCAATTGGCTTTATGCGCAGCTAGTGTTTTTCTGCCAATGATAAACTTTCAGTGTAAGGTTTATCTTCATTTTCATGAGGTTGCTTTTACAGCATTGATGTTGTAATGTGATTCAAATATAATCAGTTAAATCCATTTTGATTATTAAGCCTTAAAAAGTGACAAAAGATTGCTTAAATGCATGGCGCCGTCATTAGCAGCAGGCTAGCGCAGAAACTCAATTGAAATTACAGGGGTACGATTAGTTTCCATATTTTAAAGACATGGCGCTAAAAAAAATATAATGTAACGCAGTGCTTCTTTGGTTTGATACCCACTTTATATCGTATCTCAGCCAGGCATCGAAGATCGCTGAATTTTAAGAAATTTAATCTTAAATGCTGAGATTTTAAATGCTGACAGCCAATCAGAAGCACAGAGTAGTCAGGGTATCTGCAGGGTCTTAAAAAGTCTTCAATTTCAAAAAACTAAATTTAGGCCTTAAAAAGTCTTAAATCCACTGAAATATTGTGCTGTAGGTCTTAAATCTTTTTAAATAGATCTAGAATTTCCTGCGTTCATTTAAACCTACCCATTCAGGCCAACACTCATCCAGTCACTTATAATATATTTCAATAAAAATCTTAAGAAACGTCTATTTATTTACTCTATTTACTCATTAATATGGTTTGATTATTATCCTTACAATAACATTTGTTTTTAAGGTTTTAACTCGGCCATTATAAAAAGCATTTAGCCTTGTGTGAAATTTCATTCATTGTAGTCTTAAAAAGGTCTTAAAGTCTCAAATTTGACTTGATGAAACCTGTAGAAACCCTGCTAGTGCACTTACTGCACATCTAATGAATACACATTACACCTCTTTAACATGATTAAATGTAGATGCTGAATCACTGATATGTGTTGGTTTGCACTTCAGTCACAGTTCTGAAGTTCAGTTTCAGACGATTTATTTTTTTGTCCAGATCTGAGCTGAACTATCTGCTGCTGCTTTCAGTAGTATGGCAATAAATGTGATGTAAAATGCCATTCAAACTCACATTGTTTGCATTTAACATTTAAAAAAGCACATGAGGTGTACCTGAGCTGATCATTGCCAGTTTTCTGTTGTTCATCTGCCAGATATAGAAGCCGTTTCAAATGTTGGTTTAAACAAAAACTCCTTTTAATATGGAATACAGTCGCAGGCCGTTGCTTTTATTTAGAGCAGGGGTTACCAATCTCGATCCTGGAGGGCCGGTGTCCCTGCAGGGTTTAGCTCCATCTTGCCTTAACACACCTGCCTGGGTGTTTTAAGTATACCTAGTAAGACCTTGATTAGCTTGTTCAGGTGTGTTTGATTAGGGTTGGCAATAAACTCTGCAGTACACTGGCCCTCCAGGAACAAATTTGGTTACCGATGATTTAGAGCAGGGGTTCCCAAACTTTTCAGCCCGCGACCCCCAAAATAACAATGCCAGTGACTCGCGACCCCCAATATCCTCTGAGGTGGTTATAAATACAGAAACCTTGCATGCAATGACGCAGACACACCAATTAAATTTGTGTCAGTGCTTTAAATGTGCCAGAAAGTATAACCTGATGTTATAAAATCAAAATGCATCTGACGCTATTGCTGCCTTTAATATAATGTAATTACCCCAGGGGTCGCAATCCAATAGAACTAGTAACTATAAGCTACTATAGTAACTATATAGTATATAGTAACTATAAACAACTATTTTTATTTTCAGTATAGTTATGGATAAAATATGTTAATTCCTATGGTTTAATAAAAATAAATAGATTTTTGGAAATCACCAGGCGACCCCCCTTCATTGCCCCGCGACCCCTCGGGGGGTCCCGACCCCTACTTTGAGAACCACTGATTTAGAGCATGGTTTAAATTAGCCTTTAGACTTGACAGTCAGGCACACAGTTAGTGTCATCAATCTGGCAACCTGCCATTGCGTTTGTTTTAAATCTGGTGTGCAATACCTAGATTAACCAGTAGGTGACAAACTTACTGCACCTTTAAGGGAAAAACTCACTTAATTTGGACTCATTATATCTGAAAGCAAGGCAAAATGCTTTGCTTGTGCAGAACAAGCTTCTTTATTTAAGAATGTTTAGATATTTAGTCTAAAAAGTGAATCATTACATTGCATTCTTTTTACGGGTGGGCTGTTATCAGCATTAACGTGCTGTGTTAACGTAAGACTCTTATTGGGCAATTAAGAAAATACCGCCGTTAAACTATTTTCCATGTTGGCTTGGGAGCTGGGTCTATTCTACGCAAGCTATGATGACTTTCACCTTGATATTTTAGCACGGATGTACACCTGGTTGGATTGTACTGTAGGGGGCGAGAACGAGTCTTCGTACCTGTGTGTGTTCCTACTGTGAAATTCCCACATCAAGCGTGATGTGCTAACATGGATGCAGTTCACTAGAGTGAATCTGATTGATGTTAGCTCCACATCTAAATATCAGTCACTCGTTCGAGTAAAACACACACATATTCTGAACGCCTTCGGCAGAATTCAAATAAGTCATTTTAATCTAGATTAATTCCAAGATTACAGTGAAATTAACCTAGATTAATTAATCTATGCCCACCTATAGTTATTTTAACTATATATGTTTTGGACATGTTGTTGCAGGACCGTAAGAAGATTGAGGTAATCGTTCAGGACTACGAGACTCAGCTGGTGGAGATGCAACGCTGTCTGCAATTCATCATCGAGGGTCTGTCTCGACTCCGAAATCATGCCCTGCTGCGGAGGAACAACTACTACACGGGCGACTGGGAGGTGCGGCGCGCGCTGCAGACCATCAGCCTGGTCACCGAGCCCGTGGACAAAGCAGAGGACATCATCACTAACACACTGCTGAAGCTGGCCAGCCTGCACACGGGCATCGACAAATACTTCACTAAAGACATGAAGGAGGTGAAGAAGGGCTGCAAGAAGGAGGTGACGGCCGAGGTGCGCAGTATAGCCAAACAACTGCATCAGGGGCTGGTGGAGCTCAACACTATCAGAGGACAACTGCTGGACGCCAGCGGGAACATCTAAGCTGGGGAAGGGGAGGAATGTGGGAAAGGAGTCTGTAAGAGAGAGAGGAGTTTAAATCTGGAGGAGGAGTCAGATCCTGGTGGAGCTTAACACTATCAGGGGACAACTGCTGGACGTCAGCGGGAACATCTAGGCTGGGGGAAGGGAAAGAACGTTGGAAAGGAGTCTGGTAGAGGGGGAGGAGTTTGAGTCTGGAGGAGGAGTCAGAGGCTGGTGGAGCTTAACAATATCAGGGGACAACTACTAGATGCTAGTGGGGAACATCTGAACTGGGGGAGGGGAGGAATCTGAGAAAGAAGTCTGGGTATGAGGAGGAGTTTGAATCTGGGTATAGTGTATGAGGAGGAGTTTGAGTCAGGGTATGGTGAGTAGTCTGGGGAAAGAGTCTGGGTATGGTGAGGAGTTTGGGGAAGGATTCTGGGTATGGGGAGGTGTTTGAGTCTGGGTATGGTGAGGATTTTGAGTCAGGGTATGGCAAGGAGTCTGAGGAAGAAGTCTGGGTATGGGGAAGAATCTGGGGAAGGAGTCTGGGTATGGGGAGGAGTTTGAGTCTGGGTATGGTGAGGAGTCTGGGGATGGAGTATGGGTATGGGGAGGAGTTTGATTCTGGGTATGATGAGGAGTCTGGGGAAGGAGTCTGGGTATGGGAAGGAGTTTGAGTCAGGGTATGATGAGGAGTCTGGAGAAGGAGTCTGGATATGGGGACGAGTTTGAAATATCGTATGGCGAGGAGTCTGGAGAAGGAGTCTGGGTATGGGGAGGAGTTTGAGTCAGGGTATGGCAAGGAGTCTGGGCATGGGGAGGAGTTTGAGTCAGGGTATGGCGAGGAGTCTGTTAAAGGAGTCTGGGTATGGGGACGAGTTTGAGTCAGCGTATGGTGAGGAGTCTGGGGAAGGAGTCTGGGTATGGGGAGGAGTTTGAGTCAGCGTATGGGAAGGAGTCTGGGGATAGGGAGGAGTTTGAGTCAGGGTATGGTGAGAAGTCTCAGGAAAGATTCTGGGTATGGTGAAGATTCTCGGAAAGAAGTCTTGGTATGTGGAGGAGTTTCAGTTTGGGTATGGTAAGGAGTCTCGGGAAAGAGTCTGGGTAGGGGAGGAGTTTGAGTTTAGGAGAGGATTTGTGGTCTGAGGGAGGAGTCTAGATGTGGAATTTTCATCTTGGGGAGGAGTCTTTGTCTGGAGAAGGACTCTGGGGGTGAATTCTTCATCTTGGGTAGGAATTTTGGTCTGAGGGAGGAGTCTGGATTTGAGGGAGGAGTCTGGGTCTGGGGAGGGGTTTGAGACAGGGCAAAGGGCATGCTGCGTGCAAAAGCTGCACTGTATAAATTAACCTTAAAGCTGCATTCAACTCCTCTTTTAGAAGCACACTCATCAACTTCTCTAGTTGCCTCAATCCCTTGATTTTGACAGAGGGAACAAGTCAACTTGATATGTCTACTCCAGCACCTATATGTCCCAAAATGCAATGCGATCAATAATCAATGCTATGCAATTAGTGTAGTTCCAAAGTGTTCAAGGGTTTAGGGCAATCCATTTAAACCTATTCGCATTCTGCGCCAGTAGTGCACACTTGAGCCTGGGGGAGGAGTTTGAATCAGGACTCTGGCTATGAAAGTTGATGAAATTCAGCAACTCTCATCCTAAAACATCCCTGCCTCTTAGTACTCTCGCTTGAGGATACTTTTAAAGAAAAACAGATATCCAGGAGATTTCTAGAAGACGTAACAGCAAAGTTCCCATCATGTTTACTGAATTGTGGAAAGCAGGGCAATTGTGACTTTTCACCTAGCGACCTTTCCATAACTTTGTCATATGGTTCCTGTTCAAGGATGTGCTTTGTAGTTTATATATATATATATATATATATATATATATATATATATATATATATATATATTAGGGATGCAACAATACAGTTAGCCCAAGGTTCAATACATACCTCGGTTTCATAACACGGTTTTCGATTCGGTTCTCATTACTTGACACATTTTTTTTTGTTATTCTATAGGCGAAAGGAACAGTAGGAGATTAAGGAGAAAAAAATAAAAATGATTTAATGCAATACTCGTTCTGTTTTACTTAAAAGCCACGAAAAGTACAGTAGTTGCTAGTGTACTGTATAAAAAAAAAATGAACAGTGAAATCTCACAGCTGCTGGTAGCCCATGCACAAACTGGGGAACACATAAAATCCTACACTTTGAAAATAAACACACATGTGAAGTTAAAAAAGATGAATTGGCCATTTCAAATCAACATATATTCGTTCTTCAGTAAACATAAATAAACCATCTTCACTATCTCGGTGCTGAAAAATGCAAGACTGTAGTCTGTAGTCGAGTGCTTTTATAAGATGATAAAAGCCCACATCTCCAATCACTGAAAACGGCTGCAAATCTTCAGCAATAATCACCCGCACTGCCTTTGTTATTTAATGTGTCTCTCTGAGCCAGTTGGGTTTGTTTGCTGGAAAGATTCAGCGAGGGATTGTTGCTATTTGGAGGACTTTATTTCCTTCTCAGACAGTGATATTGCTGGGTGATGCGCTGCAGATGTGCAGTCATGGTTATGCGTGTAAAACAATGCTTGCACACAGTTATTTTTTGTTCACCGTTTTTTCTTTTATTGGCATTATACTTACCGGCAAAACCGAAATGTCCTCACACCGCAGATTAGAAAGACGCCGGCGCTTTCTCCTACTGTTGCCTCACTTCGCCGGCGCTTCCTTGTACTATTGCCTCACTTCACCGCCGCCCGCCATGTTAAAGTGTGGAATGATGCTCAAGCGCCCCCTAACTTTAGAGCATAGTGATTGGATATTTACTCGCGGGGAGGAGTTTCCTCATCTCAGCTCATGGATTTAGAAGCGCACACAGTCAATTCGTGGAGATATTAAACGCGCATAAATGATTTAAACACAAAACCGAGAAAACCGCAATACACAAGCGCATATTGAACCGTGAAGGTCGTACCGTAAGGTATATTGAGAACCATGGCATCCCTAATATATATATATATATATATATATATATATATATATATATATATATATATATATATATATATATATATATAT